ATAAACACCGAAGCCCAGCCGCTCGAATTTTGGCTGTGTGACAGTTTGTCTTTAAATTATCTTCTATCATGACTCCGAGGTCGCGGAATTCCGTGACTTTAACTGACCGCTGCACACTTATCGCTTTCTATCATTTTAACAACCACTTGTTTCATTTTTCTAGCGTATATATGCATTTTCAGTCACTTCATCCCAAATAAGAAGCACAATGGCGTTTGTGTTTAACTTCCTCAATAAAACTATACTAAAGATTGCACACAGGATAGGCAAGTTTCACTTAAGTCGTCTCACAGTATGACCACATTCATACAGATAAATGACTTCACGGAACCACACTTCACGGAACCACAGTCTATCAATGCCTCGCCAACGGCTGTTTACTAAAACTGCATAATGGATGTATAATTACTCCGGCATGTATAAACACCGATCCGACTGTCTTCCCGTAGTAAACAAACGTCGTCTGGTTTCTAGGGGTACCAACACGGGCGACCATCTGTTAAGCCGATGCCGGCCAAGTCATAATTGCAAGGAGAGATTATAGCGTTTAGAGATATCTTGATACAGAACTGTTTCAGTTTTATTTACCTTTATTCAGCCAATTATAACCCTGACCACCAACTGTGCCGGAAACATAAAAATCGCCCACGTAGATGACGCAGATGGTCCACCACTGGTTGGTCCACTAGATTAATCATAAGCTGCTGCTGATTAGCTTAAGCTCGGGTCTTACAAGGCAAAAGGCACTCACGCGAATGCCCTTCGGTGTGTTTGGACAACAAAACACACAGACTTCCATTCGGAGGTCCACTTATGCGTCTCCGGTGCCCTTTATATTTAAGCATAAAATGCCCGTTTCAGTAATCACGCATTCTTCCTTTTCTCTAATCTATACAATGTGGCCATGTATTCACCACGTGTTTAAAGGTACCTCAGGCAACCTTTGCTAACATGGTTTCGGAGATTTCTTTCTGCATTGGGAAAATAAAGAGGTAAAACGTAGTCAAAGGGTTGAATGAAAAGTCGCATCTCTAACTGCTTACACCTTTACTGGCACGTGCAAAAATCACTTATACCTCACCCACTAACAACGTCACAAGCAGGAGTTTTTTAGAAGCGCAAATGTGTAAGATAAACAACGGTTGGCAATTCCATAATGAACAGCGACGTAGCTTCAGTACCCTTGCGATTTTGAAACGACATGGTAAAACAGACAGTTTCAAATCTAAATGGAAGTTATTGCCTCTTACGGGCGACCACACGAATCTGGAACCCAGCGGCCCCTACCGAACGCAAGGGACGAACATAACCTACGTGATGATGGAGCAAATGCTGAGCACCCCTAAACAATAATCAAATAAATGTGTACGGTTGAGAGCGGATTTATTCCACCCAACGATGACCAAGTCGAATGTCCAATTATTGATAATTCATACGGAGTTGTTTGCTCCAAATTATTCGAACTCGCTGGGTTCCGATGATATTCCGCCAAAATTATGGAAAAACCTTCGCGAGAATTTAAAAACACCGCTGACTTGGCATTTGCACGGATCGCATCGTTTTATAAAGAATGTAAGCAGTTTCTGAAATGTATTATGCACTAATACTGCGATCTGCTGTAACGTTATGGGAATTTTAGAAAACGATTGTTGGACAACGGCAGTTGATGTAGCACATCCGCAATATGTAGTTTACATTGACCTTCAGGAGGCACTATATAGAGTTCTAAGCCAACGATTCCTACAAAAACCCCGCCGAACAGCTGTTAGAGAAAATCTCCTGAAGAAGGTGTGAAGCCTCCTACTTGGCCGACCTCGGGCAGTCCATGTCGGCGACAAGGATTAAACAAGCGTTGCGGTTGATTGCGGTGCTACGCACGGCTCTGTTCTTAGTCCTGTACAGTTCATTATGTACGTGAGTTCTTCTCATAAGCATATGCTTATTATTAGTACTTAGGTGTGCACCAATGTGGTCCACGATTCACCATTCGGGAGAAATGCACCATATTGTATTTTTTTTTCTGAAAAGACGGACGAATCGTATAGGACACACGGTACGTTACGGCACTCACTTT